ATTTCTCACCAATGAAACCAACTCCATATCACAAATCTGAAAAGGCTTAATTTTCCTGAATTTTGCTAGTTTTTTAATAGAATAATAGTATATAATGAGGACCTCATTAGTCATTCGGAAACATCATCATACATACGTTTTTCTACTCTTTATAACACTTTGAATACCCTCCTACAAAGTGACAAGTTGTTAAAGAACATGTCCAATTTCCATGTAACCAAAATACAGCAATTCAAAATGTAGTAACTCAGCTACTCAGGAACCCAAATACATCTGTGGACCCCTCAGTCCATGCAGTGGATCTTCCCCCTCTGACTCTGGTACACAACTGCTGTGAACCAAAGATCACAGCTGCTTAGCAGTTTCTATTTTTGCTCACAGACCATAAGAAAAGTCAAAGCTAGGGGAACGAAAATATGAACTCAGGGAACCTTTTACCCCCACCCCCACTGGAAGCCTTAACAGCTTCACTTAATTCTAGTCTTACTAAATATAGATCAGTCCCTCTGTCCCCAGAATGGCCCTCCCTCCATTCTCAGCATGAGCCTGAGGGCTTACCTCCAACATGACCACGCAGATCTGTTTGACACACTCAATGATGGATTGCGGAATGCCAGCAATAGTGATGGCCCGCTCAGTTGAGTTGGGTAGCATATCCCCTGCCACCTGGACCTGAGCCCCTGTACTCTTTGGAGTAAAAAGAAATTCAAAATCAGAGAAAAACAGCTCATGCTTTTCCAATTCCTCCCAACAGCAATTTCAGAGTCTAAAACTCTAATGGATATCCATCCATTTCCAATCTTCCCTTTTTGTTCTTTGTCCCACTCTTCCCTTATTCCACATAGAACTGTTTAACAAATTAGAGTTAAAAATAAATTAGCCACTGAAAGACAAGAATAAGCCTCAGTAACAGCCTAAATTTAACCTACTCTCAAGCAAAAGGTCCTTCTAAATAGTTTCCTCTCAACTAATGGTAGTTCCTCTGGGCAAAGTAAAAGCCCCACCAAGTATCACCCACCTTTCATTATCTTACTGAATAAATATTTACATCAAGGCCATTCATGTGCCAGGTACCAGGACAAGTGCTTGGAATACAGCAATTAGCAAAATGAAGATCTCTGTTGTCATGCCATGTACAATACACTCCCAAAAACTCAAGCAGCCATTCGAGTTTCATTCCAACACATTCAGTTACATCTAAATACAATTAAAATCTTCCACAATTCAACGTAACTTCCACAGTTAAACAGGAAGTAGGGGCCATGCACGGTGGCTCACACCTGTAATCTGAGCACTTTGGGAGACCAAGGCAGTCAAATCACTGAGGCTCAGGAGTTGGAGACCAGCCTGAGCAAAACAGTGAGACCCGTCTCCATAAAAAATAAAAATAAAAAAATAAAAAAAATTAGCCGGGCATTGTGAAGTGCGCCTATGGTCACAGCTACTCAGGAAGCTTGAGGTAGGAGGGTCGCATGAGCCTAGGAAGTCGAGGCTGCAGTAAGCCATGATCATGATTATGCGCTGCACTTCATCCTGTGTGACAGTGAGACCCCGTCTCAAAAAAAAAAAAAAAAAAGTAGAATTACATCTATTTCCCAATACATCTTCCTATTTTTCTCCTTGCTGTTTATAAGCCTGGTCAAGAAAAATGACATTGTAGGCAAGCAGGTGTGCTGGCTCAAGCCTGTAGTATCAACACTGGGAGACTGAGGTAGGTGGATTGCTCAAGCTCAGGAGTTTGAAACCAGTCTGGGCCACATGGCAAACCACCTTTTCTACAAAAAAATACAAAAATCTGGATGTGGTGGCAGGAGCCTGCAGTCCCAGCTTCTCAGGAGGCTGAGATGGGAGGATCACCTGAGGCTGGGAAGGTCGATGTTTTCCTGCAGTGAGCCATGACTGCACCACTGCACTCCAGCCTGGGGAGACAGAGTGAGACCACATAAAAAATAATAATAATAAAAATTAAAATTAAAAAATAGAAAAACTGTTGCTACTACTGCAAACTCATCCCTTGAGACATGAAAAAGAACTATATAGCCTCATGGAAAAGTTGCCAAAAAAGAAAAGAAATGTTATATGTAATAGTTGGAAATTCTGATTAACTTTCTCATGTTCTGATTTACTACAATTTATGAATTATGCAAAATAATTATATTGCAAGATAGTTTTCAGTACAATCACATTGTAATCCTCTAGAACTGTTAATTCAACAAAAATTTTCATCTCACTGCTAACTTTTCCTAGCCATACAAAAAGAGTCAATTTGGAACAAATACTTAACATTTCTAAAAGGAGCACAAAAGTCACTAACCTCTCGTATTTCCTTGATCTTGCAACCACCTTTTCCAATGAGAGAGCCACACTGACTTGCAGGGACCACCAGCCTCAGGGTGACCGGGGGTCTACTGGCAGCTGTGCTATTGGTCATAGAGCTGCTTATGTCCTACAGAAAGAAAGAACACCAGGATAAGCAGATCCCTGGAAACCAATAACTGCCAGTGAAGAACCACTTACCCTTGATCTCGTAAGGACTTGTGAGGTCATAACCCACCGTAGACAAAAGTTCCAATACCATGCCCCTCTCAAACTATTTCTGATGTACCGATAAAAGCTCTTGAAAAAATTCCTCAGAATTAGCCATAAATATATTTTCCTTCACCCTGAAGGAATGTACTTGGTAGGGATAAAAGTGATAATCTATTTTGCAGTTACATTGGCCAGGCAATGGGGGAAAAAGGTGATGTCAAAATTAAATCAAATACTGCCCGACACGGTAGTTCATGCTTGTGATCCCAGCACTTTGAGAAGCTGAAGCAGGTGGATCATTTCAGGTCAGTGAGTTCAAGACCAGCCTGGCCAACAGTGAGACCCCATCTCTACTAAAAATACAAAAATTAGCCGAGCATGGTGCCTGGCACCTGTAATCCCAGCTACTCAGGAGGCTGACACAGGAGAATCACTTGAACCCAGGAGGCAAAGCTGCAGTGAGCCAAGATTGTGCCACTGCACTCTAGCCTAGGCAACAGAGTGAGAATATCTCAAAAAAAATAAATAAATCAAATCAAATATTAAGAAAAAATATAAAACAGGCCGGGCACAGTGGCTCACACTGGTAATCCCAGCACTTTGGAAGGCCGAGGTGGGCGGATCACCTGAGGTCAGCAGTTCAAGACCAGCGTGGCCAACATGGTGAATGCCCATCTCTACAAAAATACAAAAACTAGCTGGGTGTGGTGGCATGCACCTGTAGTCCAGGCTACTCAGGAGACTGAGGCAGGAGAATTGAATTCAGGAGGAAGAGGCTGCTGTGAGCTGAGAATACACCACTGCACTCCAGACTGGGCAACAGAATCAGACTCCATCTCAAAACAAAACAAAAAACAAAAAAGGTAGATATAAAACAATACAACCCTACTTACACCAACTCTACCCTGTTAGAAAACTAAAAACAGGCAGGGCATAGTGGTTCACGCCTGTAATCCCAGCACTTCGGGAGGTCAAGGCAGGTGGATCACCTGAGGTCAGGAGTCTGAGACCAGCCTGGCCAACACGGTGAAGCCCCATCTCTACTAAAAATACAAAAATTAGCCGGGCGTAGTGGTGAGCGCCTGTAATCCCAGCTACTCGGGAGGCTGAGGCAGGAGAATTGCTTGAACCCAGGAGTCGGAGGTTGCAATGAGCCGGGAACACGCCATTGCACTCCAGCCTGGGTGACGAGGAAACTCCATCTCAACAAAACAAACAAACCCGTAGATTTGACTGTATTAGTTCAAAGCCTATATACTCTTTCCCATAAACACATGCTGCATCCAAAAAGTCATGGTTTTAATCTAGTTAAATTTAGCCTTCTGAAGATTAAGTGGTTTAAGTATCACTTACTAGCCTAATCTCTAGGCTGATAACTAGAGACCTGGAAACTGCTTAAGCAGTTAAGACCTCTAAAGACAAGGACATGTTTATTCCTTGGTTAAGAAATAAACAGTTCATATTCTAGCTTACAATTTTTTTTTTTTTTTTTTAAATAAAATAAAGGCCTGGCCTGGTGGCTAGTGCCTGTAATCCCAGCACTCTGGGAGGCTGAGACAGGAGGATTGCTTGAGCCCAGGAGTTCAATATGAGCCTGGGCAACACAGGAAGACTCAGTCTCTACAAAACCCATGAAAACTAGCCAGACATGGTGGTTTGTGCCTGTGGTCCCAGCTACTGGGGAGGCTTAGGTGGGATGACTACTTGAGTACAGGAAATTGAGGCTGCAATGAGCCAAGGTAACACAACTGTACTTCAGCCTGGGTAACAGAGCAAGCCCTTGTCTCAAAAAACAAAAAAAATAGTTCATGCTGGGCATGGTGGCTCACCTCTGTGATCCCAACACTTTGGGAGGCGAGACAGGAGGACCACTTGAGGCCAGGAGTTTGAGAACAGCCTGGGAACATAACAAGCCCCCATCTCTACAAGAAAAGGTTTTTAAGAAGTTATCCAGGCAGGGTGGCATGCACCTGTAGGCCCAGTTACTCAGGAACCTAAGGCAGAAGGATCACTTGAGCCTGGGAGGATGCAGTGAGCTACAGGTATACCACTGTACTCTAGCCTGGGTGACAAGAGCACAACTCTGCCTAAAAAGAAAAAATAAATAAATAAATACTATGATGTATAAAAAAGAACTAGTTCAAATTCATTCTTGAACTTGAACAAGAATTAAAACGTGTTTTTTAAACCATGAGTTCTGGACTTCTAGAACTTCTAGTTCTGGACCCTGGGGGTCAAAAGATAACATTTCTAATCTTGGCAAGGATAAGATGTCAGGCACCGTTTAAGTACCAACCACCAAGGAAGCAGCACTCCTCTGCCTATCAATTGCACAATTAGCTCCATTACTGCAGAAGGGGGAGAGAGAGGGACTGAATACAAGACCCAGGACAATAGCTCAGCCTCTGAAGGTTGGTGGGGGAAAAACTTCCTCTTGATAAAACCTCTGCTGTTGAGTATTTCAATTCTGATAACCTAGGTCTCTTCCCAACAAGTGTAATTTTGACACAGTGTTAGCAGATTGACTTTTTAACCTAAGAGCAACTTTTTGATACAATGTTAACAGATTGATTTTTTTAACCTAAAAGCATCAGGATTGCAAGATTGTTTGTGTTTATAACATCAGGTAAACCGTATCAGTTGGGTATATACTCAAGACTGTTACCAAAGCAATGGCATAATTTCAACAGATGCTTTTCATGCAAATTATTTACATTAAGTCCGTGGCAAAACTCAAACTGTTTTGATGATTCAAGTGACTTTTTTTTTTGAGATGGAGTCTCGCTCTGTTGCCCAGACCGGAGTGCAGTGGTGCAATCTCGGCTCACCACAACCTCCACCTCCTGGGTTCAAGTGTTTCTCCTATCTCAGCCTCCCGAGTAGCTGGGATTTCAGGCGCACACCACCATGCCTGGCTAATTTTTGTATTTTCAGTAGAGACGAGGTTTCACTATGTTGGTCTCTTAACTCCTGACCTCGTGATGTGCCCGCCTAAGCCTCCCAAAAGTGCTGGGATTACAGACACAAGCCACCGCGCCCAGCCTCAAATGACTCTTTTTTACCTACAAATGGTTGAATTTTGTGGCAGGCTACAGGAAGCTAAGGACCCATTTACAGAGTCTCATGGTCCAGTTTGTCCTTAAATTTAAAAAGCTCTTAGAAAATCAACAAGCTCTCTGGAAGCACTTAAAAACGAAGAATGAGGGAGTGGGAGACAACAAACCTCTTCCAGTTTGTCAATGATCATAGCAAAGGCTTTGAAGATGGCATTAGTGGGTCCAGCCAAAGTGATAATTCTCTCAGGACAATTCCCTTCTGAGATGTTGATACGTGCACCACTCTAGATAGGAAACAAGAGCCAAAAGTAGTTAAAGAGACAATAAGATCTGAGCATGTACAGGATCTACAGTCCCTTGAAAAAGGGACAAGGAACTGCCAATGTACACGATCCTGATGCAACGCAAAGTCAGCATCATTCCAAACACTGCTGCCCCATATCTATCCTCAAATATAGCCTAGAGCAGCTGCCTTAAGTCTTGAATGAATTCTATGACTTGTCAAAACCACACTTCCCGAATAGGGAAAAAAAAAAATACACTTCCCAGATTGTCATTACAAATAACCAGGCTGGAAAAAAATACGTATTTCCCTTGAGACTTTCCTCCCTAATTTCTGAAAAAGAATTTTCACTTGTTTTAAAGGTTTTGTTACTTCCCAAAGTTAACAATCTCAAAGTCTTTCATAACTTACCTCCTCGCGCATCTTCTTAACTGATTCTCCTTTCTGTAAAGGAAAAGTCAAGCATGAGCTCCAACTGCTATTTCAATCCAGAACAACTAAATGGTAATTAAAGTTGAAATGAAGTTATCTTACCTTTCCGATGATACTGCCAACTTCCTGCAATGCAGAAAACTAACATCAGTAAGAGGAAATCCCAAAGTATTTCTTTTTAAAAATATATTTTATTTTTCCTTTCTCTACATGTTCTAATGAAGTATTCACCACGAAAAGGAATTTTAACTGTCCAGCTGACAGACTGCTATCTATGCTAATTATTACCCCAAAGGAATGGAAAGATTTGAAGATTTATTGGGGGGAGTAGACTTACTATAAGCAATCTCCATGAGAAAAACCTTACCATCCAGGTATGAGACAGTTTTTGGCTCCAGCCTCTAATTAAGCCTTTCCTGCTCAGTGGAGCTTCCTAGTCAAGTCTGTCCATTTTCCCACTACACTCACATCTACTCCATTAGGGAAATGTGCTAAAGCCAGATGCCCCACAGTGCTAATCTGATGAGCTCCAAGATGCATGTCTGTTCTTCCTGGCCCCTCCCCTAGCAGTTACTATGACCCAATTTCCCAAGCTGGAGCATACCTTTCCATGCATAAGTAGCCGGATGGTGAGAGTGACATTTAATCCACCTTCAATCACACCGGTGTCCATGTCGAGCAGTGTTCTGGGGAGCTGGACTTTTGAGTGGTCAAGTCTTTGGTCACTGGTAGGGAGTGAAAGCCAAAAACTAAAATGCAAACATGACCAAAATCAGAGGAGAAAAACAACAGGATTATTATTTCCCAAATTATTTTCACTTTATCAATATTTTCTACTTTACATTTTTCCTTAAATGACAGTATGTCAGACTTATATACACACCAAGCACAACTGCATGACAAAATATACAGTTCAGGTTCTGTTACAGAGTATAGAAGGCAATTTTCCAGTTTCTCTCATTAATGATAGGGTTTCCGCTGACTCTCGGGATGAAGAAGGTTCCTTCAATTGGCAATGGTTCTAAGGGAACTGCTGAACGTGCACCACTTGTCCTTCAGCAGAAAAAGCTTCAAAGAATTCAGAAACACCTGGAAATTATGAGAGCAAACTTCCAACTAACTACAGTGAGGGCAAATGACCTTTTGTCTCCCTGCTGGGGAGCAGTTTAAGTTGAAAACTAGAGAGAACACATGTAAATTTTCTTCGTAGTAGCAATTTCTAGATAACAAAATTGAGATATATCCCACATTATAAATTTCAAATGCTGATGGCTAACACCAAATGATTTCTAAAAGATTTAGATCAACATCCTCACTGAAAAGACATTATCTGAGATGTCTTCCAAGCAGGCTGGGGTTCCATATTCCCCTTTAGAAAATGACTCAATACATTAAGTACACTTGAGTCCTTTTCTCCTATTCCTCCTTCCAACTCGTTACTCAGATTTGAGATGTCTTCCTTGCTTTTGTGTCTACCATCCAGTTTTTATTTCAAGTCTGTTAAATCTTAAATTTCCTTCCAAAGAAAACAACCAAAATAAAACTGGCATTCCTAAAATTTTATTTTTGTTTTTAGGAACAACAGCAGTGTACCTTTCCTATACAGGATGGCCCTTTTCCCACCTATGAAACAATTCCTAATATTGTTCCTAACATTTCTGCTTTAGAATAACTAGTTACGTGTAGAAAGAAAATTTGGTTTTGGGTATGCCTTTGCCTTCAATACCTCCTTTAGCACCTAATCGTGACAGCTTTAAAAAGGACGTCTCCCAAGTTGTAGAATGTCCCCAATGACATTTTAAGTATCCATCCTTTTAAAACTCAACATGTCATCTCTCTCCTCCCACAGCTAGATTCCCTCCTTCACAAAACCAGTCACTGTGTTAACTTTCCTCTAACACAAAGCCCATACCCTAAATATCTTAGGTGCTTAAGTGGCTGTCACACCATTCTGTATATGGCAAACTGTCCTCTGGCTACTCCAAGAATGTAAGTGATTATGTAAGTGCATCCCCAAAGCACATCATTTCCCCTTTTTCAGAATACAATTAATTGCTGGCAAAATCCCAGAATTCAATACTTTTCACTCAAGGAAAAATAGTGCTTGGTGGGGGAAGAAGCGTTAGGTCTGTAAGAATGACTTTTTTTTTTTTAATAAGGTATGGTAAAAATCTGGCAGTTTAATTCCTTATCCCCTTGCAGATGTAATAAGAAGCCCTTCACAAATATCACAAAAACGCAACTTCGAAAAGGCAAAAAAAAAAAACAAAACAAGGAAACCTATTTGAAGCCATTTCTCGAGGTAAAGTACAAAGATGCATTTTTAACTCCAAACCATCTAAACAACTCAAGAAATCTGTCAAATTTCCCTCCTGACTAGGTCAAGACAAATGTACCCCATTCCAGCAATCCAGCTGCTAATACTGCTGTCCAATACCCCTTCCATAAATAGCTCGGTCTGGGTTTACACCGGCAGGCATTTTGTAATTTAAAAATTCGTTACCCGGAGAAACGTCCTGATTAACTCGGCAACTGGGAGCCCGTCTACCCTTTCTTTAACTCCGCAGCCCACTCTCCCCTCGGTCATCCAAGCATTTTCCACTTAAGAAAAAAAGCCCCCCCTTCCCTTGACTAGAAGAGGGGGGAAAAATAAACGGTTCGGTCGGGGGGGGGCGCTGCGATACAGGGGGAGGGGCCGGACTAGTAGCGCCTCCTCGTGTGGCTGCGCCAGCGCCTGACC